ATATATTGGGGTTGTATAGGGATAGTGGAAAATGAAATGGAAACTACTATAGTGGAGAATCAACCATGACTTCGGAAGGCCGCAACTATCCTTAGGCTTCCCATGCATCCCGGTTTGAGAAGCTCCCATATCACAGCCTCTGCTTACAAGCTTCCTCAAGGGTCCCCTGCAATGATCCCGTTGTTAGTGAGTTTTTTTGGAGGTTGCGCCAAACAAGAAGCTGGCTCTGCGTTGGGGACTATTGTCTATGAGTCTATGTCCTTAGAAGCACGTTTTGCCCAGTGAGCTGCCAACTCGGGTTGCCTTTGCTGGGGCTGGCTCCATGTCACGTGACTCTGTGGCAGCCCGTCCAGGGATGCCCCGTGGATCAGCTAACTCCGGGCTCATAGCTCGCAGCCCCTCCTTTTAAACGCTTCCGCAAGCTCTACCGCAAGATGGCATGTGGAGCTACGGCCCCGCTTTTCAGGGCCGCTACTCCACTCCCCCTTCAGGGGCTGGCTAGTAAGGTGGAGCCCATGGTTCCTTCACAGGATTTCCTACCAGCATCTGTCAAGTTGCGCTCGGGCACGGGGAAGCATGAGGTATCTTTAATTTAGGTTGCGGAGGTTAGGCAATGACTTTTGGCTTCGGCTGACTGGCCGGCATGCGAAGACTGGGCTCAGACCCACACGAAGCAATAATGGCAGCCCATCTGCAGTACCAGAAATGTCCACTTGGTATTGGCATCAATTCAATCCGCAGCCCACCACCAATAATACCTCCTCTCACCCAACGAATCATAAATCTGAATCATAAATCTTCCCCGAATTAATGTATGCTGATACTACATGGCGCGGGTTTGCTATCAGGGGTTTGCGGGGTTTGATTGCTAGGTCAGGGGCCTGATATAAGTGGAGTTCGGCGGCTTGCTCCGAAGAAGTTGGGGCCGCATGAACTCGTCTTATTGAGCAGAGTTATAGAAATCATAGAGTTGAATAGTCTTGATAGCTAGGAGCTTCTCGAATTTCAAAGGCCACTTCTGGCCAGGAGTCTATATGACAAGGCCTATAGTGAGGTCTATATATGGGCTCTTGATTTATGGAAACCCCCCACCCATCCCTACAAGCAACAGCAGCCAGGAAACGAGAAAACAGCCGAAGGTCATGGGTTGCCCTACTACCACCAGTCAGTTCCCCATAAGTAGGGATGCTTAGGAAATCAGGGCTCATTAGAAGGGGAAGCTGCGGGGGTAGTGTAGGCCGGGTTTTAGGGGATCCCATGATAAGCATGAAGCCCCGTTCGGGCTTAGAAATTGTCACCGCCCGGTCTCTTCAGGCGAGAAAAGCAGCTTCCAGGCAGGGTTTTGCCTGGAAAAGGACAGGAGCTGAAAGGGGCTAGGAAGCCCGTCAAGTTTTAGGAGGGAGAAGGCTTGACTGAGTTAAGTCATAGTTCCATCTTTCGTACACTTTGGCAGCGCCAAGCTTCTGCTACCTGAGCTCTACTTCTGTGATGTCGCAAGTCGTGCGATGACTATGATAGGAGGGTGAAGTTTTCCGCCACCACTTAATATGCCGAGCCCTCAGTTGCACACACCGTCGGCCAACATGCAAAGTCTCACAAAGTCAAGGGACTTTGGCACTCTGGAACGCTATGAGGCCTTGTGTTCGAATGATGAAGCCGCCGTTTTTACACGCGACGATGTCATAACCTCAGGGAAGGCACATGGAAGGCCATGTAGGATTTGTTGACATCTATTGCTAGCTCTGTTGTTACTTCCCCCTGATGCTTAGGCGGCCTCGTGTTGAGGTCTGTTCTGAAGTCGATCAAAAGTCTACAAAGAATCTAGCACCATGATATTAGCAATCCCCTGTCCTACGTAGTAAAAAACTATCGTCCCCCTTAAGTAGATAGAATATGGGGTATATGGGGATCCTATTATAGTATACCCAAAGCC